TAGGCATAAATACAGGTCCCGCCACCCGTCTTGCGTGAACACAGTGATCGGTCTGGGCGAAAATGGAAATAGAGACGTCCTGGATTTTTATCAATTTACCAAGTCCTGACCAAGGGCAATTCTTGCGCCACCCCTCAAAAAAGTATCAGCCACCGTGGCGCCCGTGTAGAAACTGTGGGTTCCTGTTGCAAAACACGTGTTTTAAAGTGTTTGTTTCAAACCAGCTTGCGATGTCCGGTTTCTCACGGAGCGCTAACCAGCGGAGTCACCTTATGACCAGCCAGCGCAAAGCACAGCCTCAATATCAGAGGTGGATGTTGCACGAAGCTCCACAAAGAATTCATGAGCATGCGAGCTAGGGGGCTACTGCGGTGGAGGTAAATGCGGTGCCACCGAGAGTTATTTGAAATCCACCGTGCGGGTACGCTCCTCCATGGTAAGTGTCCCCCAGAGCATTATGGAGTGTTGCGGAAGTCGTATTCACCATAACTCATTTAGCGCGCACAGGCGTTATCTGAAAAAATGATATGTCAGCATTACAGATACCCTTTTATTTAGAAATCTTCCGCCTGGGCCTGTTGAAAGGGCTTAGTCGTTGGGACCTTTGTATTTGCTTGAAGAGAGACATCCATTATGTGTAGGAGGTCGAGGGAGATTGGTGCTCATCGGAATGAGACCAATTTGAGGATTGGGCCGCATACAGCAATATGATAAATGTAATAACATATGCATATTCGTAGTATAGAACACAGATGATTGATTACACTAAATACTAGCGCATTGAGGCCCTATTGTGACGCCGGTGGCATCGGGTACAAAAGAGAATATAAATATGTGCGCATATATCCTTATATACATGTGCGGAGACCCTTTGGATGGCTCTAGAGGCGTAAGGAAGCATCTAGCGTATGAATGCATATGTCGTCCGATTTTTCCTCTATGTTCTCTTTCTTTCCAGTACGTTCGTATGTATTCTTTATGCATGTGCGGATGTCGTATCGAATCTTACAATATGTGCCAAGACAGGGTGGGCAGTTGATACAGTAGTAGTTGAACAAAGTGCGGATTGGCAGTTGGCATGCGTCAGAGCCTTTGCAAGTGGGTAGGGATGGTTAGCCGCCCCACCCGCGCATCGCACAAGAGCCAATGCCGTGTCACCACCTCAGCGCCTTTAGTACTTTGCTTCCGAATGGGAGCCCGACTTATGTTTGAAGCAACGAAGGACACAGCACACAACAGCCACACTATTCACACCGGGCACATCCGGGCAATACTGGATGTGCGCCATGCCCATCTAACATGGCTGAGGTCGCGTGATATTCCAATCTGGGGGAACTTGCACCAATCGAAAAAATGAGTGATTCCTCAGTGTATTCTGAGCCTATTTGCTTAGAATTTTGGAGAATATACTTCTGAAGGCTCTTCCAGGAGGCGCCGAGGCGCCGAAGTACATTGATGGGCAACTCACGCCCGGCCAGTGTGCGGTGAGCTACAAACTCGGCCATAACCCGAGCACCTCAAATAGTTGAATCAGAACGGTTTACGCCCGTCGGATTTGACGTAAGCAGCGGAAAGGCGAAGGAGAGCTGCCTAGGAAAGGCCAAAATAAATAATCTACTCTTTTTAGGTGGACAAAGCGAATGCGGAATAGCGGTATCCTCATTAATCCGGTCCGACCGTTGATAGCGATGATGCGCCAAAGTACTGATGATCTGTGCACGCCACTGGGGTGATTGTTGGAGAGATAGTGAGCATCATGTAGAGTTATGTTAGCATTTGACTTCTTCGCTAGGTACAGCATCCAGGAGCTACGGTTGGAGTTCCTGGGTGGCCAAATATGGCGCGTCGATGTCCTGAATATTTCTGCTGTCACGAAAGTTAAGATATTACACGGGTATATCAAACCTGACTTGAAATCTCCAGGCAGCCGAGATATCTAACCGATATGGCCTTAGCGGTTTGCAACCACAGAGCCACTATCTAGGGAGCTTACTTTATCATTCTATCGCATCACTTGATCATAAACACGGGTGAGTTTCCAGACGAAGACTACCGGGTATACTGGATCGGTATATGCGCGCATAGACTATGTCTTAACTAGTCAAAGTGGCGTGGCCACCATCTGAAATGCAGATTCGACTTGTTCTTCAGTGCCTAGCAGGATGATCGGTGGCTCACTGTGGCAATATACGATGGCCGAACGCTCTACTGATGAGATGGGGAGATGTGGCAAAAATCCGAGTCGGGAGTGTATAAAACTAGTCATAATGGATGGGGAACTCTCATCGACCTCTCAATCCCCACCCACCCTCCCCTGCAATCAAGCCTAATGTCACCTTCTGGTGAGCTCCTCTTTCATTTAGTTAGCGTAGCTTTTAGTCTGAATCTTTCCAAATCAGTCAGCGATCTAGTTGGTAGTGCGACCACCAACATCAGCACCGAAGGCGCTACAAAGTTCGCCATCGTCACTGGAGCCGCTCAAGGTAAATCGCACGACCTCTACCTTTCAATACTGTTTGATTTACTCATTCAATGTTCACTTCATTTGCAAGGTATCGGCCTTGCTCTAGCTCGCAGTCAGTCCTTTTGTTGATTTACTCTAGACATACTAATTACAAGCTTTACCTTTTAGGGATGGCCGAAGATGGGTTCGATGTGATCATGAACGATCTCGAGTCCAAGTCTGAGCTTGGGCTAGCAGCTGCCAAGAGCATCGCGACGAGTTCAGGTCGCCGTGTTCTCTTTATGGGAGGAGATGTTTCCTCTGAATCGGACGTTGATGCGTTGGTGCAGAAGGCCGTCGACGAGTTTGGGGGTCTTGACGTGGTAAGTCTACTTCAGGGTGTGCTCAATATATGCGTTCTGACGTATTGAGGGGTAGATGATCGCCAATGCTGGTATTTGCACTGTGAACTCTTTGATGGACAGTAAGCTACTCCACCTTTTCAGCACTTTACATGGCGGGAAACCACCTAATCGCTACTATGTTAGCTACAATTGCCGAATGGAACCTCAACATGAACGTCAACGCCTTGGGTGTACTTTTATGCTATCGCTCCGCCGCTCGGCAGATGATCAAACAAGGCCGAGGAGGAAGGCTGATCGGTTCATCTTCGATTTGCTCGCTGAAAGGTGAGACACCACCCCGGTAAAATAGTCGAATTGAAACTAACTTTGGTCGCCTCAGGTAATCCGACTGTCGCTGCTTATGTCGCAAGCAAGTTTGCCATGCGAGGCATCACTCAGTCCGCGGGTATGATGCTCTCGATATTGATTGGATTATTTAGTAATCCCCCTCTACAGCATTGGAGTGGGCCTCTCACAAGATCACAGTGAACTGCTTCTCCGGTGGATGTATTAACACTGCGATGCGTGAGTTCAAAATACTACGACTTGATTATTGTATACTGACAGAGTCGGACAGACATCGATGCAGCCAAGGTAGTAAGCGATCGAATGAACCTTCCCCTACAAGACATGCTCAAAGGTGTAAGTTATGTGGTGACAACATCACTCACAGCCAGGCTAAAAACTGTACTAGGCTTACTCCCAAGTTCCACTCGGATACTGCGGCCAGCCCGAAGACGTAGCGGGGCTTGTATCATACCTCGCATCCCCATCCTCGCACTACATGACAGGTCAGTTTGCCCGCAAAATAGCATCATAAAATCTAACATGCCCACCTGGACTATTAGGCCAAACCATCTCGCTAGACGGCGGGCTGCACATGAGCTAGGAGGCCCAATTTGTAATTCAAGCCCCTTTCTTTGTGGTGCTTGGACCTCGATGTATTATACTCAATGTTTTGAATGCATTATTGTACTATGAAGGACCTACGAAGCCTTGTACCATGGCTTGGCCAGAGCGCCCGACAACTAAGCCTGCGCTGAGAATATAAAGGCGATGGTGGTTTCGGTTTGTAGACATTATCAGCGCTCAGCTCTAACTCCCTCACCCATCTCTTTAACACATATACACCAACAAAATGCCTATGTATACTGCTCCTCACTCGAACCTAGAGTGGTACCCCGGGAGCATGTCCCACGGACTGTGCGATCTTGCAAAGACAGGCAAGAACATCCTACCGGCGGATCTTTATCAAGGGGTGCGCATATCGGTAGCTTTATGGTTTGGTTATAACTGAGACAAATCTTAGCTTGTTGATGCTGCCGGTCGCGTGTACATGCACGAAGCTCGTGTTAATGAGCTTCGGGCTGCCACCCCTGCTGGCGCTCCATTCCACAGTGATCCATTCTACGTCTACACAGGATACCGAAACGCTTTAAGCGATCTGATGCAAAAGATTGCTCTTCCTCTGAACCAACATGACGGCCTTCGCTTCCGAATCTGTACTCAGCTGGTAAGTTCAGCCGCGCAACTTTCGACTCAAGTCTGAAACTTTGTCTTCTTATAGTCTGTCTTACTACACGATGTACTTGTCGTTCTCCGCGCCCAGGGAATAGACAACCACCGATGGTTTAAAAACCGTCAGCTCGCTATCCTCCTCGCAGAGTTCGAGAGTGCAACTCGCCTGAGATGATTGCAATGTCGTGATCAGTACCTCGCCTACTTTGATCTGTACTTTACCCCGCTGTTGTACGCTATTTATTGTTAGAAAAATAACTACCAAGATTTCAGTTTCCACATATGCTTTAGATCGCACTAGATTGCTGCAAGAGCGTTGCTCACCGACAGGTGGAATGCGCATGAGAGTTCTAGTTCGGCTCGCTTTGAGGTTCCAAATCAGCATCGTACTACATTGGAGAAAACTTTCAATTCCGGCAAACAAATCTACATTTATCGGTCCCCTCAAGGCTCTCTGCGGTAACACAACAAAGCCAGCCCAGTCAGTTACGGGCGCCTATGTAAGCGCCCAGCTCCGGAAGTAAATCTCATCCGGTGTTTGTCCATTAAATCTCTCAAAAATCGCTGGAAAACGACAGTCGTGTTTCCTGCGTCGTAAATGCGTCAAACAACGCCATTAAAGGCATTAAAAAGCTAGCCCCACGCGGGGCTCGAACCCGCAGCCTTGAGATTGCGGTCACGTGACCAATTAATAATCCCGCTTATATAAAAGTCTCACGCTCTACCGATTGAGCTAGCAGGGCTTGGCAACTGATCTCGCAAAAACAATGATAATCCTTGCACGTGCCGAGAGCCCCGCGAAGTCAGCAGCATAAAATAAAACATCAGTTTCTAACTAGAGGAAAAGTATGCGCTGCATGCTGGTCACCTTGCTCCCGGCTTCTCCCGTGATCTTTCACGCGGAGTTGTTGTTGCCGTAACAAACTAAATTGTAGCACCTAGCAGGCAGAGTTAAGGCATTAGACTTAAACAATGGCCAAGTCCGCACTTGGGCTTACCACCGTTTAATGCGTGCATGGCATTGTGAAGGTATTCGAGCTACTGTATGTCACTGATTTTTTCCCGTAAGTTTAAGGATGAGCTATTCACAACGCCCTGCAATACACTAGGGAAGGAGAGCAAGCAGCCGTACGAGTTGGATCGAGAGACAAGGGTAAGATAAGAATGCAAAATGAAATGTTGAGATTGAATGGATCATATTCATATTCGATGTAAATCCATTGGCGCGATACTACCCTGTATGCGTCGGATATACTTTACCTAGCAGGCATTTCGCGTCTTTCTACCTCTCGCGCCTCTATAACCGATTCGCCGCACGCTGCATTTCCATTTGTAAGCTATACCGACACTTGACACTGAGAGAAGCGGTCAATGTAAATCACCCCGTTGCGTGCAGGTCCCAACATTTCCTCTTTTTGATGTTCTTGGTGTGCGCACTACTTGTGCACTCAGCACCCGGTGAACTGGATTTCCATTAGGAGAAAAAGCCCCTGGCGTATACATATTCACCAAATTTGCTCACCGTGTCCCAATTATGCTACCTGCGCGCAGACCATGGGCCTTGTCCCTCGTATCCACCACCTCGCTATAATGCTCGGCATTCTCGCACGTCACCCACTCTCCCCGTCATCCTTTTGGGGCCTCTCATTTGTTTGTATTTCTGTCTTATATAGAATCTCGCGTTATCGCATCTCGTCTGTCTCCAGTCGTCAAAAAAATCCCCTAGTGCTCAAAGCGGCTCGTGAGTGCCCGCTACGAGGGGTAGTGGCTCACGGAGCCCCAAAGCGCCCGTGGGTGCTTGTTTGTGCTGGCGAGCACTGACGAGCAGGCGAGAGCTTTTGCTCATGAGCACTTACAAGCACAAAACGAGCGCCGGTAAGTACTCAAGGGTCCTACGAGCCACTGATCTTCACAGCGAGCATTCACAGGTACTTTGAGCACCAGGGGCTTTGCTGACGTTTATCAAACCGTTTCTTAATTCTTGAAGTATATCTGTCTTAATTTTCCCTGCTCTCGAACTGAAAACCCGTACACTAAACCCTATTACATTTTTTTGCTACTTCGGATCGACGAATCTTGTGCCCCTACATCTGTAGTATTGTGGACCCGGATGACCCACTCATTCTCGATATGGATGCTTTTGGGGGGCTCAACGCCCGGCTCTGCTACCTCCACTTGAACTTGGCTAACCATACGCTTCATTCACGACCAAGCTCATTACGCCTCTCACGCTTGAGCATGGGCTGGCTGGATGCAAAGACTGAAAGTGGGCTTTACAGTCACAAGATTTGTACAGACCCTGACGGCCACGTGCACTTTCTTACTTTGACCCTAGGCATGAACCCTTGGACCCCTCAGAAAAGTACAGCACACTTTAGGGGGGGAGTGACCTTAGCGGAGCAAGGTGATTTTGCTTAACACAAGTTGGTTGAGGCTTGAGAGCGTCCCCTACATATTATCACGTATCGTGTGGGGTTTAGGTAACTGCGTGTATGCGGTGTTGGTAATCTGGGCCCCGCGTAACTTCTTCGAGTGTGCACATGGTACGAAGGGGTACATGTTCCCAGAACTCGCCCCGGATAGGCTAGTCAAACATTCCAAGTCTGTTGTCAAGTACGACAAAAGTTAAGTTCAGGGTGAGCTGATTGATAGTGCACCGTACTGCATCCCGCGGGCTATCCGGCGATGGATTGCTGTGTTGGCGGAAATCTTGTTTGCGGAGTATAAAAGGGACGCACTCTGAGCTCTTGATTTCTTCACTCGTCCTGGATTTTAGCACGCGATTCTTAGATCTAATTATCAAGCACGTTCAGTCTGAAATCTCCAAGTTATGAGCGACCTTACTACCGTAGAGGGTACCTTGGCCTATCTTTCCAGCACAAAGTATGAGGCGATAGATGTACAATTACTTCCTGGTGGTCATTCGGCCTTTACCTATCGTGCAACTCTAAAATCTTTACTCCCTACTGGAGAAACTAGCGTCATTGTCAAGCATTGCGAAGGTTATCCTGCACTTCATAAAGATTTCCCATATGAGGCAGAGCGAGGGGTATGTGTTACGGCTCTTACAACCGTGCAGATTGGATACTAAACGTTTGGACTAGCTGTACGAATACGAGTGTTTGGTTGCTTTAGCCGCTTCTGGTCTGTACGACGATAATAGCGTTGTCCAGGTACCCAAGCCCTTAGATTACGACCCCGAAACGTACACAATCTTCATGACGGACATCAACCCAGCGGACTCGCTCACCAAAGCTCTCACAGCAGGTGTCGAAGGAGCCCATACTGGCGAGAATGCTTCGTCAAAGTTGGAAGAGGCCTGCTCCCTCGCATCGGCAGTCGGTTCGGCTGTGGGTGATTTTATGGGCCGGTTCCATAATTGGAGCGCGTTGCCAGAGCAATCTGGGCTTCGGGAGCGGGTTTCGGAGAACGTAGCCGCGAAGAAGTGCGCACTTTCGCAGTTCGACCTTACGATTCGGTCGGCTACGAAGTTTGGGTTGAAAGAGCCTTGGGTGGATGCGATCGTGCAAGACGAGATTCAAGCAGTGTCGAAAGGTGGAGATGTAATTGTGATGGGGGACCTGTGGTTTGGTATGTGGTCATTGCGTCATAGCTTTAGATGCAGCTCACAAGACTGTATTCAGAAAATATACTCATTTCGAGGGCACCCGAGCACGGAAAACTCCGCCTGTATATCATCGACTGGGAGGTGGTCCGCCCCGCCCACGCCGAGCTCGAAATCGGCCAAGTCACTGGAGTGGGAGTATCATTCGCGCGTCGGTATGGCGTACAGGACGTTTACCCATTCCTTCCGGCTCTGCATCGCGCGTATTCGCAGCACCGTACGCTTGATCCGGTTAGGACTGCAACGGCGGCTGGACTCGACACGCTCGGTTTTGGGATGTTTGTACCGTGGACGAGGAAACAGGGCGAAGAATTTTCAAAGGGACTGGTTATGGCTGGATTCGAGCTTTTGGAGCTGGCTCACAAGAAGGATGAGGAAGCTATTAGGACGAAGAGCTTGTTGAAGCACCTCTACGGCTCTGGCTCTGAGTAAATATAAGAGTCGGCGAGTAGAGTGAGCCGCTAGAATTTGACGTACAATTAGTGAATTTATCCCATTGAAAAACTTAAGTTTGTGTTGTGACATGTATGTTTGCCGGCTCGGTGATGAGACGTCTTCTTGAACCGAGAGATCAGAGTTCTCCAGAGTTTGTGGGTGTTGGACCGAGCGTCGAAGTCGAAGGTTAAATCGGGTGGCTGTACGAGACTAGGGACACGACCACGTGATCGCGTGGCAGATGTTGAGACAACCGCTATTGACTTGTGCAGCCCAACGACATGTCCTCAGAGATTCTCTTCAACTCGCACGCTCTCAGCTCTCTCAAGCGCGCTCAATTGATTAAACTCTGCAAACGATATGGAATCAAATCGACTGGCAAGGTGAGTAGCTGACTTTTGTTTGTTTCTAGTAGCTAATTCTCCTCAAGAATACCGAACTAGTAGCAAAGCTCGAGGCATACGGACAGACTTTACCTCCTGCTTCAACATTCATTTGCCCAAGCGAAGCAGACTTGCTTTCATCACCTTCGAAAGGACCATATACCAACGACTCCGACTCGGATGACGAGCAGCCACACCAGGGCGCTGGACGCCCCAGTGACCAATGGGAGCCAGTCTCCGAAGCAGACGACGTATTTGCGGCAGACGTTACGATTAGGGAAGAATCTGAAGAGGGCAGCACAGGCTCGGATCGTACTGGAACGCTTGGGAGCATGGGGTCGAAGAGTGGGAGGAGCATAGAAGAGTTCGGGAACAAGGCCAACGCAAAGCTGGGCTCTACCGGATCAAAGAGTAAGTTATCAGCTCTATCCTAGACTACGTCCTAATTGTTTCTCCTAGGCTCGATCACGTCTTCGCTCAAATCCATTGCTTCTAGCTTCCTGCGTTCCAATAAACCTGCTCCAGCACCACCTCGAGAACCCACACCTCCCCTTCCCCCCATGCCCGCACGCGAACCCACCCCTCCCCCAGTTCAAGGACCAGGTCCTCACAGCGTTCGACTCATCTCATCACCCATACGACCACCCCGTCGCTCGCGTTCCCCAGCGGATCTTCTCTCTGGGGTTCCCCTACCTTCTCCCTCCCCCAACAAGCTTGCCGCCGACTTGGCCCAAATCGACTCTGTGTTAGAGAATGCCGCCGGACCTGAGTCGTCTCCCACCGTGGCCCGGGTTAGCTTTGGGTTTGGCACGGCTGGGTACGACCAGGATGAGGATATTAGCATGACTTCGGGCACAGGCCCAACGCTGACCGTTTCGGGACCAGCAGAGGACGGGGAGAGTGGCAACGACGAAGTCCCTGGAGGGTTCCCTACATCACCCAAACCCCTTGTTCCTCTTGATTCGAATTCACTCGCACCTCCAAACGCGCCTTTTGTCTTCGGGTCTCCCCGGCACTCTGTTTCAAACACACAATTTGGGGATGCGGCGGCAGCTGTGTTACGCGAGATGAACGAGAGGATGGGTGTGGCTGGTGCGTCGCAGGGTATTAGCATCGAGCAGCTGCAGAGCGTTTTGGCGAACAAGACCTCGGCCCCCGCGAAACCAGTCGAGAAGAAGATTGACGTGCGGTTTGCAGATAAGCATGACAAGGAGTTCGCCAAGTGAGTTTACCGATCCATTCGTAGTCTGCTGGTAGCTGAGCCCTATTTGCACAATTTTTAGGATGGATTCTATCTCAA